GTGAGCCCATTTTATTTCAAAACAAGACATTTTTTTCTCTCTTTTAAGGCAAACCGATAACATCCCATACAAACCTTTATAAATATATAACGTTACGCAACACGGTAAGAGTCACGTCCGCTTTTCTCGTAGTGAGCTTGGGCTGCCTGTGCCATATCTGGAGTTATATACCATCCACCGTCAGCCTCTGACTCGCAAATGCAAGATTATTTATTAAAATGCCTAACATCAATTGAGTCCCAACATCCAAACAGTGGAATTCTTCTTGTCGGCGATTTAAATCACCTAAACGAAGCGACTCTCAAATCCAATTTCAATCTGAAACAAATTTTCACTTTCCGACTAGAGGGAAAAGTTTTTTGGACCGTATTCCAACCGACATGAATGAGTTCTATGATAAAGCCATCGAGAGACCTCAAATTGGCCTTTCGGATCACAGTTCAGTGGAGATCCAGCCCAAGCTTCGAGCAAAATCATCGTAATCAAAGAAAACAATCATCTCGAGGGATTTGAGACCTAGTAAAAGACACGTAATGCAAATGTACCTCGAAAATGTTGACGTACCACGCCTCCCTGACACCGTGGAGACCTGCGCGGAGAAAGTGTCACTTTTTGAAAATATTGTTAAGACGGGCCTAGACTTTATTATTCCCCTGCGATCCAAAACTATTTATCGAAGCGAGCCACCGTGGTTGAACGATAAACTCAAGAACTTGATCAAACGACGCCAGCGTGCCCTTGCAAAAGGAAATATGGACCCCTTTCGAACGCTTAGAAATTGCGTGAATCGCGGACGTAATATCTGCCGGGCAAAGTACTACGAAGCAAAGGTTAGCCATTTGAGGGAGTGCAAGCCATCCGTGTGGTGGAAAGAGGTGAAAAAGCTCAGTAGCATGTCACCTGCTTCAGAAACGCGTGATGACACCAGCAAATTACTGCAACACCTAGGTTTTTCACCTGGTGATCTGGCGAATTACATCAATTCAGCTTTCCTGACTCCAATGCAGAGTTTTGAACCTCTTACCCATAATCCTTTTGATCCACCACAAATAAACAACGAACGTCATGCCGTAAATACGATATCGGAGTTTTCAACCTTTATGAAACTGTCCGCACTCAACCCCTCCAAACCACAAGGGCCAGATGGCATCCCGGTATGGTTACTAAAAGAAAACGCTGATCTCTTGGCGGGACCAGTCTCTGTGATCCTTAACTCCTCGTTCCACGAATCCCGCCTTCCGCCTTCCGCCTTCCTGGAAAGAGGCTGATTTTGTCCCGGTCCCAAAACAAAGGCCCATTAATGATATCAACAAGCAGCTCCGTCCCATTTCTCTCACGCCTATCTTGTCCAAACTCGCTGAAGACCGCATTGTTGAGAAATACGTTAAGCCAGCAGTGTTACAAAGTATCGACCCTCGTCAATTCGGATCTATTCCCAAATCGTCTGCTTCACAAGCTCTGGTCAACATGACGCATAAT